TGCTGCTGCTGCTGATCTCCTCCTCCTCTCCCTCCCTTCCAAGCAGTTCTAGGGGATGCAAGCAAAGGAGCCCTTCTGATTCTTCCATTGCTCCAGTTGTCAGAGACGGGGTCGGGGCGGGGTGTGGGGAAGAGAGCAGAGCGGCATGGGGTGTGTGTGTGTTTGTGTGGGGGGCGATCGTGGGGCTTTTTGCTCCCTGGATCTCCCTGCCTTGGTTGCTTCCTCCCTCCCCTGGCGGCCTGAGGAGCAGCCAGCCGCTCTGTCTTCTGTGGGGGATCCTCATGGCCCGCCTGCCTTTTCCAGGGTCCCAGTGCTCAGGCCTCTTCAGCACCACAGTCCTGGGGGGCTCCTCCAGCGCCCCCAACCTCCAGGACTATGCCCGCAGCCACGGGAAGAAGTTCGCCTCGAGCGTCCTCTACAAAGAGGGTAGGTGGCTGCTGCTCCCTGCAGCCATGGCGGGGCTGAGGGTGGCCAGAGGGGCCCTTGGCAGGGCAGCCCCAGAAGGGGCTCTTGTCCTCTCCGAGGGGGGGAGGACTTGGCATGGTTTTGGGCAGGGATGCTGCTGCTGCTCTTCCCCCCCCAAACATCTCGGGCTCTCTCGCCCCACAATGGCCGGGGCCGCCTCTCTGCCCTCGGGGTCCGTGGCGGCCGAAGGAGATCGGTCGGGCCGGGAAGGGCTCTGCATGTCTGCCTGGGCTGTGCGGGAGGAGACTGAGCGAGGGACGCCGGGCCTCCTCCCCTTTGCCCACCCTCAAGGGTGACTTGGGGGCGGGCGGGCGAAGAAGGAGCTTCCAAAGCCGCCACCTGTGAGGGGTTTCCGGGGGGGGCTGAGCTCAGGAGGGCTGCGGCAGAGCGTCCTGGCCTGCTGTCCCGGGTGATTTGGGGCCTCGGGGGGGGGGCTTGGGAGTTTGGACTTGAGGGCTCGGCTCCCTCTCCTCGGCCTTCACGTGACAGGCATAGAGAAGGTTGTGACCAAGGCAGAGTTTCACTAAGACCAGGCCAAAGAGTGCGTGTGTGTTCAGACCTCTTGTGGATCACACCCCGTGTGCCCCCCGCCCCCCCCAGCTCCTTTGCAGGGGGTTTGTGTGCAGACTGCACTTGGGGCCAGACCTCAGGCAGGAGGGAGGGGGAGCCCCCGTTACCTGAAACCCACCAAGATCCTCCCTCCCCCTCCAGTCAGGGCCTTTCCCTTCCTTTCCCTTGTGGGGAGGAGAGGAGGGGTGCTGAAGACAGCTCTGGGGCTGGAGGGGGGGGCCTGCAAGAGGCCCAGTGGCCTGCCTTCTTCCTCAGCTGACAAGAGGCTTTCGGGGGCTGCCGAGGCTAAGGGGGGGCCGCTTGCTTCCTCTAGTGTATCCGGTTCCTGAGGAGCTGCTGCTCATGGGACGGGGGGGCGGCTCTGAACAGAGTCCACGGTCCTTCCCGTCACATGGGGGCCGCCTGGTATCTCTGGGGGCTCGGTGGCCAGGCAGAGCCGCGGGTGAGCCATGCAGGAGGGGCGAGCTTGCAGGCCTCTCTTTCCTGCCTTTTCTCTCCTCTTTCCATGATGGGGGGTGGGGGTGGTGAGTGGATTTGTGGCCATTCGGCACTTTTAGGGGCTTGCTCGGTGATTCCGGCTTGGGAGGAGAAAGTCGAGAAAGGGGAGCTCAGACATCCTTGTGCAGGGAGGGAAGTGGGCCTCTGCCTCCTCTCTTGGCCATCTGGCAGGTCCTGGTTGCCCCCCCACCCTCTTGGCAGCACTTGGGGAGTCTGTGTTGGGCGGGTGGGGGCCGGCACAGCCGCAGCGACAGCAGGGGGGCGGGGGGGCCTAACGGAAGCCCTGCTGTCTTCTTGTATCCTCAGAGCTCTTCTCCAAGCCAGCCATAAAGCGATTTTCTGTGTCATTTGCAAAACACCCAACTAACGGTACGTTCGCTTCTTAATTGAACGCTCTCCTGTCGTTGTTGTCGTCCTTCCCCCCCCCCACCCGTCCCTTTCTGTGTTGTTGCCTCCTCCCTTCCCAGGCACAAGCGTGCTTGCCACTGACCCTGGCGGGGGGGGGTGGTCCTCTTCCCTTCGGTCTTTGCCCTGGAAGAGGGAGCCGGCCTGCTTCCGGGCCCACCTTCAGGGTTAGAGAGGTGCCCTGCCTGTGAGGCTGAGGAGGGTGTGGTGCCGGGGGGGGGCACCCTCTGGCGGGCTGCCTCTTGAGGCTGCGAGAGGGTTGCCTGCCTGCCCGACTGGCTGGCTGGCTGGCTGGCTGCGGGAAGGGGCTGTTGCCAGGGCGGGAAGGCCTTTGCTTCTGCGCCTGCTGGGCCAGGAGGGCCAGCTTCCGGCCCGCTGTGCTTGCAGCCTGTTCTGGTCTGCTGGTGGCCTAGGCCATCCCTGCAGAAGTGGGCAAGGGGCCGGGCGAGGCGCGTCCCCCCCTTTTCCAAGCAAGGCCGAATGAGGGTTGTGAGGAGGACCGAGGGTGTCCTCTTCGGATGAGAGGCTTCCTCTCCCCAAGCGTTCCGTGTCCAGTGTTTCTGAGCCTCCTTTACCTGGAGGAGAATCCCTGGGTGGGTCTCCTCTTCCTGCGTGCTGCCTTTGGCTGCTTCCCACAACCCTTCTTTCTTTGCCTGTGTCTTCTGTGCCCATGTGGAGGCTGCTGGCTTGTGGGGTGGCCTCTGGCGCTGGGTTCCTGCCCCTCCTTGCCTGCCCACTTCATGCTGGGTCGACTTTCGAAGGTCTGTCTCAGCCACATGATGTGCCCAACGCGGCCTGGGTGTTGCCTTTGGCTCAGAGGAAGGGGGAACGTGTGGAAGGGGGGCTGCCTGGCAAAAAAGGGGATGTCCCGGCCCCCCCACCCCTGCCCTCGGAGGGCTCTTTTCCAGCCCCTTGAGCTGTGCCTCTGCCCAGCAGTTTTTTTTCTGGCTGCTCAAGTGCTGCTCAAAGGATGCCTCCAAGGATCGGGGGCCCCTCCTTTTTGTTCCCAGGGGGTCAGGTGCCCCTCTTGGGACCCCCCAGGAAATCTGGCAGGCTCTGAGGTCTGACGGGTCTCTTGGCTTCAGGAACACAACCAGGGAGCGAGCAGTGGGACCTGCTGGGAGTCTCCCCCCCCCTCGGCCCAAACGCCAGCCTCCTCCTGCATCTTGGAAGGGTGGCACCTTCTGATTTCCAGGCGCAGTTCCTGGGTGTCTTGGGGGGGGGTAGTTCGAGCCAGGCTCAGGGTAAAGGGAGGGGGACGGGGAGGAGTTCTTGGGTGGGCGTGGGGTGAGAGGGCTCTCTGCTGATATGCCTTCTGAAATTGACCGGTGACCTCCATGGAAGGAAGGAAGGAAGAGGGGAGAGCCTGCTTTGCTTTGCTTTGCTTTGCTTTGCTTTGCTTTGCTTTGCTTTGCTTTGCTTTGCTTTGCTTTGCTTTGCTTTGCTTTGCTTTGCACATGGAAGTCCTGGGGGAGAACATAGCAGTGCTTCCCCTCTGCCCTTTGCAGTCAGGTTCCGTTTTGAGGAAATGCAGGCAAAGACACGTAATGTTGGGGGAATTTGGGAGCGCAAGGTGGGAGGGTGTTTTGGAAAAATGGTGCACAAAAATGTATGTGTCAAAAGAGAGAAGCATTAAAAATACCGTTTTCCTGACTTTTTAGAAACAAAGTCAGTTACACACTCACAAAAAGGTGAGACAAACTTAATGGTGGAAACCTGAGAAACGGAATAAAAATGAACTTGAAGGAGCACCCTGTTCAAGGGGTGGCCAGCCTGCCCTGAGATTTTGTGCTGGGTCCCCATCATAAAAGGAAAAGGGTATTCCTTCAAGTTCATTTTTATCCCATTAGTCAGGTTTCCACCATTAAGTTTGTCTCCCCTTTTGAGGGGGGCGGTTCTTCTGGGGAGCCTGTGCCCCACACATTTCTCCCTTCAGGGCACACTGGGCAGGGGCTGGAGTCCGGGCTCCCTCGGTTGGATCCTGCTGGGGATGCCCTTGAGGGGGGCTGGTGTGGGAGGGAAGCCCCTGAGAAGAGCCAGGCTCAGGTAGACTGAGGGGGGGGCAGGGGGAGGGAGGGGTCTCCCCTTTCTGAGCCTTCCCTCCTTGGGCCTGAGTTTTCTCCGGGGGGGGGGGTGGCTTGTTTCGGAGGCAGCGGGG